TATATATATTTTCTAAATGAATGTCTCTAACCTCGCTGATAATGACAAATATACTTTTATAATTTCAGAATAGGAGAACCCGTATAATACGTAAATTATTATTACAATATGTTCCCCGATTTTTAAGCCACAGTTAGGAACAAAATTTAACTTATAATAATAAATCTAAAGACAGATATGGCAAAGTAAAAACACTGTACAACTGTATAATACTGTATACTCGGTATACTGTATAGATAGATTGACTCATCACGATATCTCGGAAACCATCGGACCTAGAAACTTGAAATTTGGTAGGAATATTACTTTTGCCATGTAGAGGTCAGCTAAGAACGGGTTTTAAGAAATTCCGACCCCAAAAGCACCTGCGGGGGTGTTAACAATGAAAAATTTCCGTTTTTAAACTATAGCTCCTATCGACTCCAAATTTGGTAGGAATCTTCTGTAAGAGATGTAGAAATAATCTATGAACGAATTTTACGATATCTCACCCCGACAGGAGGTTGCAAGGGTGGGTATTAACAATGAAAATTTTTAATTTTTAAGATATAGCTCTTACAGACTCTAAATTTGGTAGGAATTTTCTATAAGTGATGTAAAAAAAGTTTATGAACGAATTTCACGGTATTCCATCCCTCATGGAGTTGCGGGGATGTGTATTAGCAATGAAAATTTTTAATTTTCAAGCTTTAGCTTCTATCGCTCCAAATCTGGTAGGAATCTCCTTTAAGTGATGTAAAAATAATTTATGAACAAATTTTAGGATAGCTCACGCCACAGGGGGTTGCAGGGATGGGTGTTAACAATGAAAATTTTAAATTTCTGAGGTAGAGCTCTTATATGCTTCAAATTTGGAAAGAATCTGCTATATGTGAGGTAGAAATGATCTAAGAAAGGATTTTATCACAACTTATTCTTAATATGGATTGCGGGGGTGGGTGTTAACAATGAAAATTTTAAATTTCCAAACTGTAGCTCCTATAGGTTCCAAATTTGGTGAGAATCTGCTATATGTGAGGTAAGAATGATCTAAGAGCGAATTTCATGACAACCTACTTCCAATATGGATTGCAGGGGTGTTAACAATGAAAATTTTTCATTTCCAAGCTATAGCTCCTACATGCTTCAAATTTCGTAGCTATCTTCTATATGTGATATAGAAATAATTCATGAACAAATTTTACGATATCCCACCCCAAAAAGGTTTGTGGGGGCGTTAACAATGAAAAATTCCCGATTTTGAACTATAGGCTCCAAATTGGGTAAGAATTTTCCGTGAGAGATGTAAAAATGATATACGAACAAATTTTACGATAGCTCACCTTACAGGGGTTTTGGGGGGGGGGGGGTGTTAACTATTAAAATTTTTAATTTCCAAGCTATAGCTCCTATTGTCGCCAAATATAGTAGGAGTTTTCTCTTTTCTATATGTGACACAGAAATGATCTAAGAGCGGATTTTACGACGAACCATCCCTAATAAGGATCGCGGGGGTGGGTTAACAATAAAAAATCCTAATCTCTAAAATATAGCTTCTAAAAGCTGTAAATTTGGTAGGAATCTTTTAGTTCTTACGAGGAGAGAATCTCAAGACGGATTTCAAAAAATTCTACTTCCTACAGGGATTGTGGGGGTAGGAGTGTTAAAATCCAAAATTTTAATTTCCAAACTGTAACTTCTACAGTCTCTAAATTTAGTAGAAATTTTCGTGAATAATGTGAAGTTCAGCTGATAATGGATTTTCTCGAATTCTAACCCCAAAAGGGATTGCGGGAGTGACAATAGTCAAATAATTCATATTCTTCAAATACAAATCCTACAGATATAAAATTTGATAGAATCTTAAGAGAAACGAAAAATTACAGGGATGGCCTCAAGGTCAACCGATTTAAATATTTTTTTCTTAATGTCAATTATTATTCATTTTTGGAAAATAGCCACGGGAATGATATAGTGATTGCACATTGAAAGTTACAATAATTTTTAGTTAAAATAATCACAGGAATAAAAGGTCAATCCGATGGAATTTGGAATCTGTTCAAGTCAAAACAATACTCCAATTAAATTTCAAGTCTAGATCTAAAAATACAATTCTATTCAATTCTAAATACAATTCTAAGTGCCCAGCGAAGCGGGCGGGTAACTGCTAGTATATATATATATTTATACGATATAACGCGGCTTGTCAGCACGATAGCGTTTTCAATTTATAACCGATTCTTCTCAAACCCAGCATGCTTTATCTATCGATTAAGACCAAGGTTAAGTTCGAAGATGAGCTTAATCGGGCGAGTAATTTGGAAATGACAGGATTTTGAAATTTTGAAAATCGTAAAAATTGATGTTTTTACTACTTCAACTTGGTATAATTATTGAACTAGACAAGATATTGAAATTCGGTAAAATGCATCGTAAAGCTCTTTTAATAAGCTTCAATTTTCACTACTCAGAAGTGGTAATAGCCTCAATATTACTCCTTTTAGAGTTCGTTTAATGAAACAGTTTTACTGTTGCAGTCGTTTTAGAATTATTGTCTGCATCATAGCTTATAATCATATGATGTAAATTCAATAATTAAGATATTGATCAGTCTTTCGTGTAATGTTTTTGAGTACGTTGTCAGTAAATATGTCACAAATTAGTTTTAAACATTGTTTTCTTCAATTAAAATTTTATCTGGTTCCAAAATTCTGATTAACTCGGAAACTGTTGTTTCTAAGCAGTTACTTATAATTTGGACATTTATAAATACAACAATCTTATAATCTTTGCAATCCTTTGGTAAATATTTTAGAAACTTTTTCTTCACAAGATAATTTTTTTTCCAAAGTTTGTTCCAAATAGTTTTAAATTCATTATTTAATTTATTTTTTAATTCATGAATTAAGTTAACCATTGTTAGTGTTATTATATTATTTTATTAAAAATCAATTTTCTTTATTTGAAAAATCTACTTCCATTTCGGCTGCCGAATGGCCTTTTTTTGATATTTCTAATTACACCATACATAGTTTGGGTACTTTTTAAATAAATTTAAAAAATAATAGTGCTATGACAGAATTAATCACAAATAAGTTACAAATAATGGACAAATGTGACGGAACTTATTTATAGAACCAACAAACTATTCAAAACTGCTCCAAAAAAATTGACTATAACTGAAAAATATATAAAACCGTGAAAAGGTACAAATTCTTATCAAGACCGTTCTGATAATACCAATTTTAACTATAAAAATTCCTTTAATTAAAAATAATAATATGCTCATCACAAAATTTTTCTTACTCTCTTAATTATATAGATTAATTTTTGACATATGACCATATTCACATGTACAAAATAAAATAAATAAACAAATTACGTATATCGCGAAATACTAATCTACTTAGAACTATTTCAAAAATTTATCATAATAAATAAAATATTGCTGAAAAGCATATGAAACATTGAAAAGGTATAAATTTAGGCCAAGATCTTTCTAATGATAGATAGATATAGATAAAAAATTTTATTTGATCCTGGAGTTCTAAGTTCCTTCAGGACCATCAACAATACAATGAGTTAATAATCTACATTGAATACATTGTTCGCAATATAATTTGAATGATCGATGTTAATTAATTTTACTAACATGCGAAACCATAGGATTAGTGGCAATTACATTGATTGTAAGAAGAAATTATGACAAGCTTGTTTAAAACCTTCGAAGTTGTCAATTACTGTAATATTAGCCAGTAATTAATTCCAAATTTTTATGTTATGAATCAAGAAAATATTTTTATAAATAACATAATTACTTCTTGGTAAACGCAGATAGTCATGCCTGACGTCGTCTCTCCTTAATGCAATCGGCAGAAATTTTAATTTTGATGATACTAAATTTTACTTAAAAAACTATTTTTGTCTTATAAATATGCCGGAGACGTATTTTTCTTATTTTCTTAATTATAACAGATAAAAATTTAATGTCGATCGAAAATCGTCTATACAGTGTATTATTAAACAATTGGCATTTTTTGGAAAAAAAAAAAAAAAAAAAAAATTGAGGACCGTGAAAATAAATAATTATTAAAGTTTGCAATTATATAAATTCAACATGTGTAAAAAATTTTTAGCCTAATGGCAAGTAATAAAAAAATGAATGATAAATGTCAATTAAAATTACGTAATTATTATACAGCTTATAATTTTTGGAGAGTCCTCTCAAAACATGATAAACTAATAAATATAATTTCATCGGTGACTCAAAAAAAAATCATTTTTTTTTTTTTCGTCACCCTAATACATAATAACTAATTGTTCTAGCTTCATGCAGCGGCTTTATCGTCTTTAAGATCAGAGGTAGCGGAATTGAATACACGATTACTCGCAGCGACACGTGCTAAAGAGGCTGCAAGCGCCGCATTGATTAGAGCTGAAGCCCAAGCTTTGCGAGCTGAACAACGCGCTGAACAACAGGCAATTCGGCATGAAGAAAGGCTCACTGAACTGCATTCAGTTATTGCTGAACTTAGTAGGCAACTTGAAAGACATCGAGCTAATGTTATCACAGAAGAAGATGAATCTGGTAAATATATACTGATATTTAAAAATTTTTTGTTCATTTCGTCGGTGATACTACAATATCGCATAACTAAAAATTCCAAAACCGCATAAGTAAAAAAATATCAAAAATGAGATTTTGTAGCCAAATTATGTATTTTTTTTCTACATTTTTTTGGTACTTGCAAAAATTGAAAAAAAAAATTTTTTTTATCTAAAAAACTATTTTATACAATACCGCGTAACTTTTAACTACGTATATGTATACGATACTGTCTTCTATTACGACAATTCAATCAAAATAAGTACATAATTTAAACGGAATAATTCAAAAGGTGTATATAAAATTTTTTATTAAACTAAAAAATTTTTAACATTAATTATACACAGAAAAAAAAGTTTACTTAAATCAAGTGAATAATTTTGAAGAACTTCATATTCTTGATTTAAGTAAAAAAATTCGTAAACTGAGAAATTATTCTTGGTTTGAGTAAATTTTACTTGATACAATAATTTTTCGTCTTGATTCAAGACAATGAAACTTTTTAAAATTATTTTCTTGGTTCAAGAATTTTTCTTTTGATTCAATTTATTTTTTTTTTCTGTGTAGGGTAAATGCACCAATTATTGACCGATTAAGGTTTTCTTTTTCTGTACTAAGCTATAAAAAATCTATTAACCTACTAAAAACAATTTGTAATGGATTTTATTAAAGTTAAATACTTAATTAATAATAATTAATAACTATTTATAATAAAAATTAACAAAATTATATTAATTTTGTTATTTGAATCTTGAAATACTAAAATCACCAATTATTGACCGAAGAAACCCAATAAATGACCGACCGTTATCCAATTAATTGACCGCTCAAATAATTATAAGTAATTTTGTAAACCACATGTATGTAATTAAATTTATGGAGTACTTTTAAAGTATTAACGACATCTTTAACAAAACTAAACACACAATATAATTTTAAATCGTACTTTTTCATAAAATAATATAAATAATAGCAATAATTAACATAAAGTAACATTTCTTTAGGTCACAAATAATCAAAAATTAATTTTGATGACGATAATTCTTCTGATTAACTTAAAATTTTTTTATTCTTCTCCTTCTTTTTGTCAATTAAAGCTTTCTTACTAGCTTGTATAACTCTTTTTTATTTTTTTAATTGCTCAGCAATTTTTTCTTCTAATAATTCGTTCTTTGACATAACCGTTCACTAAAAAAATTAGAACAAAATAAAATTTAATAATCAAAAAAGATTTTAAATATTATTTTAATTATAAATATACATTTTATAATGATTATTTTTATATTTACAAAATATTGAATGACTAAAGTACTTTAAACACTTGACAGATTCAATTTTGAAGTTAAGAAGTTAGTATTATAAATATACGATGATTAATTGGATTGTGATAAAATCAAAGGGTCTAATAAATGACCGAATGAATTTTTCACTGGGTAAAGAGCTTCTGACGGATCCAATAGTTGACCGGTCTTAAAATAATATCAAAACTTATAATTTAACTTTATTTTTTCAAAAAAGTTAGAATCTGATCTTTAATTAACATAATAAAACTAAAATATATTTCATATTATGCCGATAAATATCACTAAATTAATAATGAAATCCACTCACTCTCCAATTGTACGCTAGTTATTTTTGACCGCTTTATAACTGGTTGCGTTGTAAACAAACTCAGAATATTTTTTTAAAGCTACAATCACTGCGCAATTAATTGCGTAATTTTTTATTATCATGATTAAATGCCATATTTTTTTATTTTAATACTTTAAGAAAAAAAAAAAAAATCCTTGTAAAATATTAATTAATTAACTTTTTTATAAATCGGTCAACTAATTGGTGACTGGTCAACAACTGGTGCATTTACCTTACTACTGAAAATATAATTTTAACTGAAAGAAAAAAAATTATTTTAATAACTATTCAACTTATTAATCTTCAAATTCAAACATAATATAATATTCTTATAAAGTTTAGTCAACGTTGCAATATTATTATGATTTAAATAATTATGTTTAATATCTCATTTTATAAGATATTAGACAGCACGTGAGTAATATTAACATTTATTTAATTAAATTAATAAATCAAGTTTTCTGTATGTTAAATGATAAATAATCATATTTAAAGTTTATACATTCAATTTTATTATTGCAATTTTTAGTTACGCAGTATTGCAATATCACAAACAATTTAATATCTTCAAAATACTGAAAATAATAATTAACAAAAAAATTATTTTAAAGAAATAGAAACTAGCAGAGATGCAGAAGGTTCAATAACAAATCCAGTGGAAGAAAGCGAAGGCGGAGAAGACACTCAGGGTGATGGCGATAATGATGGTGATCGTACCCTCGGCGACGCAGAGTCAAGTTACGCAGAAGAAATTGATGATCCACCACGGCTTAATGAGGTAAATGAGAAAGACATTTTCAGTCTAGATAATTTATAATGACTTTGAAGAAATCGTTTCTTTCTTTTTGCTTTTAAAGTATTTTTCATTGGAATAATATACATGATTTGATTATTTTAAAATTTAAGTTTGCAAATTTTAAATTGAAGTATGATTCTATTAGAACCAAAATCAGAGAGATAGTCGCGGATGCGACAGTCCTGCAGCACTGCCAACACCTGAACCAAACCACCAAGAAATTACCTGTCAAAGTATCCTAGTAACTTCGTTACAAGAAGAAATAGTTGCTTTGAAGGCTGAAGTAGCTAATTTACAAAGCCAATTATTACTTTTTAAAAATAGCGGACAAATTACGAGCAGCGATTCACCTCGAAGAGATCACAAAGTAAGCATTATGTACTTTATTTTTTTTACATAAAACTAAATCACGTTACAGATGTCATAAAATCGTACATCTGCAAAATATACCGCTGAAAAGTCATAAGGGCAAATAGACAAATTTTATTTAGGGAATTGACGTAATTGTATTCTAAAAGCATGATAGAGACAAAAATTTTTTTCTGGAATCGGCGTATTTAGTTTCTAAAATTATAATAATAAAAAAAAAAATTTTTCAACTAACGAAAAAATTTTTTTCTAAATTCGAATGTTTTTTATCAGTTTTATACTTTAAAAAAAAAAGTTCGAATTTAGGAAAAATTTTTCCATTTAGTTGAAAAAAATTTTTTTTCCAAGTATGAAAAAAAAAATTTTTTTGTCTCCATTATACTTTTAGAACATAATTATGTCAATTCCCAAAAAAAATTTTATACGTCCTTATGGCATCTGTAACGTAAAATAATAATATAACTCAATTAAAATCTTTGTTTTTCTCTTCACAGAAGGGTAATCTAAGTTCTCCAGAGCCATTAACAGCACCATGTTCACCATTATTACCTCCTTTGCAACCACCAAGTTCAAAAAATACTCCACGGGACGAGATGCCAATTTTGAAAATGGCTGAAAGAGTGAAATTGCGTCGAACAGATGAAAGACATATAACCGGGCCTGATATAACTAATTTAGGTGTATGCTCAACTATGATAGCTGAGCATTTAGTGTCAGGTTTATTAGAGCAGTCAAACATACAGGAGTTAAACGGCTCAGAAGAACAATTCGAAGTTGAAACTGAGAGACTTAAAAGTCGACTTGAACATGCACGAGCCAATAATGCCGTTCTTGCGTTAACTTTACACGAAAGTAAAGCTCAGTGCGACAGGTATGTCTATAAACTTATGCAGAAATCTAGCGTAAAAAAAAATCGATTATAATCAACACTATATTTTTTATCAATTACTCCGGTGGACACGAATTTCGGGTTTAATTCTAAGACTCAAATTTCAGTCTCTTGTACGAAATTAATTAAGGAAAACATATTTTTTTTTAGTTAAAATTTCCTTTCAAAGAAATTAAAGCGATATTTCAAATTTTAAATAAAATTATTTATTTTATCAATTTTTTTAAACAATCAACCAAAAAAATTAAAGTTTACTTATTGACGTAAAATAGACAAATACAAACTTTCTACGTCAAAAACGAATATATTAGATTTTTATTGTATAAAATCCGAATTTCAGCATTAAGGGATTATTCTATTAATTTTTTTTAAAATACTTCACGTTTAATGATATATAACTTATTTAGCTAGACTATTTATCTACTTAATAAGTAGATCGGCCCGTGCTGTTGAAAAAATCTAAACAACGGTTCATGTGAAACAAAAAAATCAAATAGTTTTAAGTTTATCATGACATTGGCTATATCCCGTAGCACAAGTATTAATTTTTATGCAAAAATAACAAAATGTCGATCAAAAAAGTACGTTTTTTTTTGCGTGATTTTTCGCACAAAATATATTAAAAGTATAAATTTTGCAATAATTCTGTTACGGGCTATAGCGATATGTGTACAGAATTTGCAGTTAACATTTCATAAGAATCAGTTGAAAAGTTTCTGAGATTTTTTTCAACAAAAAATAGTTAGAATGCTCCGATCTTACTAAAATTTTGTCATAATATTTTTGAATATATATTCACTTTCGAAAAATGCAAAAAATAAATTCAAAATTTTGTAAGCCCCAAAATAGAGTAACCCCTTAAAACAAAACAACAATATTTTTGTTTGACTTGAGTCAATATTTCAATAAATAAACAAATAATATTTTTTTTTTTTTCATTTACAGATTAAGCTTGTTAGTTGGAAAGTACGAGTCCAATGCTACTGCTCTTAACTTAGCCTTGTCGTTCAGTGATCGAACAATTGAAGCTTATGATGTTTTAGTAGCATTACTAGAAACTGAAATGGCGTTTTCAACCGACAGAAACAGTGTAACGATAGACAATAGAAGAACCGCTGAAAACGTCGCTTATCACGTCCTCAAACGTCTGGAAAGTGATTGTACAACGCTTGGCGCACCCTGGGAAGATAGCATCATATTATCTGATGAGTAAGTTATTTCACTGTTTGTATTTGAAAGTAAGAAAAAAATTATTTATTATAAAATCGATTGAAAAAAAATTTATTGTTTAGTTCTGAAGTCTTTTGGTCAATAGATGAGGAACAACGTTTACGTAAGCACATAAGTAAATTAAAAAATGACCGAGCAATGGTACGATCGACAGCAGTTGAGCTGGAAACAGTTCACGTTGAACCTCTAAATTCAAAGAACACAATTTCACTAGCCGAAGCACGTAAGCTCGATTTAGAGACAGCAGTCTTAATGCAAGAATTGATGGCAATGAGAGAGGATAAAGCTGAGTTACGAGCACGGGTATTTTTGTTGGAAAAAGAACGTTCGACTATTGAATTGAAATTAAATTCACGGGAAGCACAAATAGCTGCTCAAAACACAGCTATTCAACACCTTCAAGATCAATTAGGTGATACTGAGGCCATGCTGGCAGTGGCTACTGATAAAGATCGTAAGTATAATGATAGTGAAAGTGAGGGGATGGAATCTGAGCTAATTGAAGCGCTTGGACGAGAAGCAAGGCTTAAAGAAAGATTACACGAATTGGTCAATACCTTAGAAAATGTTACAAGAAATTCTGAATTACGACACCAACAATCTGCTGATCTCATCAATGATTTGAAAGTTGCTAATGAGTAATTAATATTTTTGTATATTTTATTTTATATTATTTTCTGTTAAGGGTGTAGTCTAGTTCGTCGGCTAAAAAAATAGACGGTTTTTGGTAATTTCTTGTAAGCTTGCTATAAAATATATGTTTATATAAGTTGTTAGGGGTGACAAATTAAGTCTTAAATTACAAAAATAAAAATTTGTTTTAGTTTTTTTTTTTCAAAAAAAATTTTTAATTAAACGTAACGCCATAATTAGGAGGCAGATCGGCTCCCCGGGTAAAAAAAAAATATATATATATATATATATATATATATATATATATATATATATATAATCAGATGCATCATTTTTTAATAATTATGTACAGTCGTGGTCATCAATTTAAATATGTTTTTAATATTACTGGAAAATAGCCATTTGTAAACTCGAACGTTTATAAACTATAAATTTGAAAATTAGTTGATAATGTCATTTGTAAAATTAGTCGCAAATAAAAAATGATATTAATGAAATTAGCGAAATTTTAATTTCACTAAGTATAAATTCAGTCGTTTATAAAACAGCCAAAAACAAATACTGGTGGCCGCTTGAATTTAGCCGATTCTAACTGCAGTAAAACTTATAATAAAATCAGCCGATTGTAAACTTTGTCAATTATAAAATTAGCCGTTTCTAAGGGCCAGTTTTTCAACCCCGGGTTTAAGTATTTTATCATTGTGAATATATCTATATATCTATTATACATTCACAATGATAAAGTACTTAAACCCAGGGTTGAAAAACTGGCCCTAAATCTCTCGTAATTCTTGAACGGCTCGACGGATCAAAAAACGATTTTAGACATCTAAAAGGACTTCCATCAATTGAGTTTTTCTGAAAATTAGAGCAAATTTGACCAACCTATTCAAATGTTATAAGAAGTTTAAAAACGGCTAATTTTACTATTCGGCAAGTTTACAATCGGCTGATTTTATAAGTTGTCGCAGTTAGAATTGGCTAAATTTACGTAGCCACAGATTTTTGTTTTTCGCTATTTTATAAACGACTGAATTTATATTTGGTGAAATTTTCATTTAGCTAATTTCATTAATATCATTTTTTATTTTCAGCTAATGTCATAGGTGACATTATCAACTAATTTCCAAATTTAGAGTTAATAAACGTTCTAGTTTACAAACAGCTATTTTCCAGTAATATTAAAAACTGAACAAGATTGTATAGCGATGTTTGTAACTTTTGTATAATTATATAGAATTATCTGTAAGACTTTATGATTATACAAAATCATCGATAGTTTTTTTTTTTTTTGTTAAGTATAATGTTATTTGTGATATTTGCTTCATTATATGGAATTATATATATTATGTACAATTATATGAGATTATATATGATTACATAAAATGTGTAGGATCCTACACGATATCTCAGCAACCGTTTATGTGAAACAAAAAAAGTGAAGTGTTTTCTATTTGGTATGGCAATAGCTACAAAATAGACTATTGATATTAATTTTAAACAATTTTTGTTAATTTTAAGTAACAAAAACCAAAAAAATAGTTTTTTTTCGCGGTTATTTGTAAAAAAAAATAGTCAAAATCAATATTTTACCATGATGGTAGTCTATTTTGTGAGTACTCACGTGTAGAAAACGTGGTTAAAATTTCAGAAGAATCTGCCTACAGGTTTCGTAGAAATCGTGTTGGCCGTCCGTGAAAACGTAGTTTTGAGAAAAACAAGTTTTAAGTTTTTTTTTAATAAATATCTTACCAAAGTTTAATCTGCAAGTCCTCACCGGAAACAGCTAACACATCCCCGGGAATTTTTAAATAGATATATATTCGAAAAATGTAAAAAAAAAAATCGAAATTACGAAAGTGATCAACTAAACTATACCCTTGACACTTTCTTGTTTTTTAAATTTAATTTCATCATCCTACTTTCATTTGCTAGCTACTACAAAATACAATTGTTTATTAAAAATATTTGTTATAGAGCACTGGTACAATCATTAGAAAAATCTAAGAAGAAATATCAGTCACGATTGAAGAAATTAGAACAACAAATGCTGATCATGGTCGAAAGAAATGCCGCTCAGGTAAACATTTTATATTTCTTTCCAAAATGTAGGAAAACTAAAAATATAATACACAGAAAAAGAAATTAACTTGAATCAAGTAAATAATTTTGAAGAAATTATAGTAAAATTATCGTCAGTCTTTGTCTCACGGAAAACGGAAAATTTTTCTACTTATTGGGGACAACCATAAAAAAATTTTTAATAAATTGAAAGAAAAATAAAATCTAATATTTTAAAGTTGCAAAACGCAATTTAAACCATTTAAACTGCTCATATTTAAAAGTATTCTTATTTTGGAGATATTTTCGAACAAGATCAACCATACTTTTTTATTTATTTATAAAAAATTATTAAAATGAACTACGTCCGTAAATTAAAATATAAAATAGATATAAAACGTTAACATTAATTTATTAGATTAACACAATAATTATTTTACTTTTTATTAGTCAGAAAGTATACTATTTTTATTATTTAATTTATTTTATGTATACTTTTGGGTGTTTCTGCAATTATTATTGTCCAATAGACCAGTCATAATTGAAAATAACATTTTCGCCTTAAGTTAGTAGTATACTGAGAAATTAAATGAAAATTTATCCGTTCTATACTTTTATTAAACAAAATAATTTCATAATGTTAAATGCCCATAAGAGATATGATTTAAAATGATTTGACAGGATTAAAAATGATTAGAAAATTAATCATATAAAATCATATTGTTTAATTAGGGTGGACTTATTTTAAGTTGTTACAAAAAAAAAAAGAGTTTTAAATACAAACCAAAATTTATTTATGAATTAGTTTTCTCCTTTTTTTTTTTTGCGAATTATTTATAGCAATTATTTCTTCATTCATCAGAAATAAAAAAAAAATCAAGTTCCCTCACAATAAATGATAAATCTTACTAGTGAGAGTTAAATCAATGTTTTTTTACTAAATAATTATGTAAGTAAAAATTTAACTTCAAGTACGGAACAAAATAGAAAAATATTCTATTAGCTGAAAAAAAAAAAAAAAAAAAGAGTTTTGATTCAGTTATTCCCGTAAAGCCGTGATAAAAAAAAAAAAAGAATAATTCAGATCAAAGTAAATTCAATTGAACCTTTTGTCGACGAAAGGAGACCTCGATTTTTTATATCTAATCATTGTAATTCTAAAATTAAATTAGCACTTATCTTAAAAGATAATGAATGGCTGAAAAGAAATGAACAAAAAACTTTTTCTAAAATTATTTTTTTTACTATTCTAACGTTTATTCAATAACAATCTTGAATTTTTACTGCTTTACACATTGTCTCTGATAAAATTATCTATCAAGTTAATGAAAATCATTTCATTTGATCTCGTCTCCGTTTTATTTCTTCTTCAACTAACTGTTCCAAATCATCCAAGGGTCGGTACTGCATGTGAACGACTTGTGACCCTGCAAATGCAGTTAGAGTTGCAACAATGCAAAATCGTATGTAAGCCCCTGTACTTAGTCCTGCTGGCATGATCAATATACTCTGATTGATAACAACAATTCAATCTAACTTTAGTTTTTTAAATTATCTTGATTTTTGAATGTTTGATCTTCTAACATTCTTTTATCAGCTATTTCTTGAACTTGTCTTCGTTTGTAAGTATTATAAAAATTAACCTCTCCAACTCGCCAGTTTATCATAACATACTCCAATCCAGCACCGGCAACAAAAAATAATGGGAGAAAACGATAAACTCCAAAATATTTTTCACCAGGCCACTTTTTTAAAAACTTTCTGATTTTTTTACTGTAAAAATACATTTATTTATTTCTATTATATTATCGGTACTATTTTAGTAATAAAAACTTATTAATTCCATTTTTTACACTGCATGGAATTGCTGCTCAACTATCTTGTGCGCGTGCTTTCTTAGTTTAGACGCATGCGCTGCTACACAGAGAAAAAAAATTTCTTTTGTAAAATAAAAAAATACCAATGTTGTACTAATATAAGAAATTAATTAGATGAAAGAAATTAATTAGAGAAAAAATAAAAATTTTTTTACAATAATTTTCTTGTTGTAAAAAAGTTTTCTAGATTTGAAGAAAAAAAATTTTGGTTGAAAATTCACAAGTTGTGCATCTAAATTTTTTTATTCTAAATCAAAAATACTTCTTTTCAAGAAACAAGTTTCTTTGAAAAAAATTTTAATTTTTTTTTTAGCTAAGAAATGAAATTGTTAAAAATTTTCAATACATAAATTTTTTCTCACAATACCCATTTTTTTTAATAATTTTTTTTCTCTCAGTATGATTTCAAAAATTTAATTTTTAGATATTAAAACTTGAATATTCTATAAAAAATATATAAACGACTTTAAAATGTATTTTTTATTCTTCGATCGCGTTCTTTTGTATAGATTTTGATAAAAAAAAAAAAAAAAAAAAAAAAAAAAAAAAAAAAAGTTAATTACATTGAACCTACGTTAAAACTTAAATCATAGTATATTTTAAAAAAAATTAAATTTTTTAAAAAATTATGCTTAGCTCTATTCTGAGAGAAAATTCTTTTTGCAAGAAATGGGCGTTGTAACAATGAATTAATTTGTTAAAAGTTTTAAACAATTTTTAAGTTTTTTTATTTGGAAAAAGAATATTTTAGGTATACAACTTGCGAATTTTCATTCAAATTTTTTTTTTACTAAGCCTAGAAAACTTTCAACAAAAAAGTTAGTGTAAAAAAAATTTTTATTTCTTCAGCCAAGACATAAAATAGTACAAAATTTTCAACTAATTAATTTCTTACTAGGTACAATATTGCTTATTTTTTTAAAAGAAATTTTTTCTCCGTGTAGGAAATTGATGCAACTTAATATTTTAACAATCAGTAAAATTTCTTACCACTGATTTATTTTTTATCGAAACTTCCAAACAATTATTTGAGACAACACTTTTTTCCGTAATTTTTTACAATAATCATATTTTATCAATTTTTTCATTGCATGCTTTTGCATTAATATTAATTACTCAATTAATGTAAATAAAACACTCGGTAAACTATCTTAAGTCAGCCATATTATGGGCTTTAATCGAGCTCTGTTTTCTGCAATTTCTTGAAATCAAGGGACCGAGATTTTTAGTACTTAAACTTGCATTTTACTCCCTACATTGCTAAAATTGAATAAAAAAGAGTTGAGATCTTAAAACTAATGTTTTTCGATAAATTTATATTGTTTATTCTTAAATTGAGTAGATGATTGATTTCTCAACATTTAAAATAGTAAATATTTTTCAAATTTAACATGAGATAAAGATTTATTCTCTCAAGAATTTGTTAAAATGAACAATTTAATATGTTAATTTATGATTGTGGAATATCAATATCTGCTTGTATTAATTATAAACAAAAAAATGAAAACCTTCGCATAAAAAAAAATTATTTTAATAAATTCGACCAATTTTTCAGACAGGAAAAAATTTTCCAGACAAAAAAGTATATTGTTAGAAATTTTCAAGAAATAATTGGGTCAAAAATTTTAATTATTATAAGATTTTTTTTTTTTTTTTTTTTTTTTTTTTTCAGTGTAGTATCTTGGTTTATAATGATCTCGTAAATAATTATATAAATTTAAGCAGTAGTTTAAAAAAATATTTCATCTTAATGTTTTTTTTTAGTGGTAAAATTTTGAATTTTCCAAAAGTCGTAAAAATAATAATTTAATTACTAATCAATAAACTAAAAAAACTTACTGTTTTTTTCGGTTTTTTTTTTTTTTTTTTTTTTTCAGTGTAGTATCTTGGTTTATAATGATCTCGTAAATAATTATATAAATTTAAGCAGTAGTTTAAAAAAATATTTCATCTTAATGTTTTTTTTTAGTGGTAAAATTTTGAATTTTCCAAAAGTCGTAAAAATAATAATTTAATTACTAATCAATAAACTAAAAAAACTTACTGACAATTAATTTTCAGATAAATCTGATAACATGATATTTTATACATCTTAATATTACAATTTCAACGAAATGTTTCCAGTACAGAAACACTTTTCAATATTGGATCTTTATTTAATTAGTTTATTAAATAACTTTTCAGGTGAAAATATTAAAACAGAGAATATCAATGCTAGAAGAAGAAGCTGCTAGTTTCAAAGGAAGTCTTCCTCTCCAGTCCCAAAGTTCTGGTGCCAGTGAAACATCATTATGACACTCATCTGAACAGAATTCATCGGATTATAATTAAACTGCCAAAATAAATTTATTAAAACACCATTAAATCATTACCTCGTACATAATGTTTTAGATAGTTAAAGAGTATAAAATTAATAAATAAAAAAATCATTGTCAGCTACTTAACGTTGAAATCGATGTATTTTTTTACTTATAAACTTTCAGAGTAAAAAAATTATAATTATTAGAAATTGCTTGTCGCCAAATAAAATAGATTATAAAAATTTTTTTCCAATTTTATAAATCTCTTTAAATGCTTATATATACTCATGTTTGTTACAATTATTAACTATGATAATATAACTTTGTAAATATGTATATGAGAAAAAATAACACATGTTAATGATGCGTGATAAATGTAGACAAATAAATTATGCTTTATTAAATATAATGAAATTTAAATTTAATTCTTTAGAAACAAAAAAAATTGCCATAATACAATTAATTATCCTGTTCATTTGCTTCATTATTTACAACTTCTTCTTCAGCAACATTTTCATTAACTTGTTCGGCATTTTCACTGTCTTGATTCGCTTCTATTATCGATTTTTCCGATGCACTAGTTTCTGGTTCTCCAGGCTCTTGCAAATCAGTAGGAACGTCGTTAATTTCAACTGACTCAGTTCTTGATTGCATAATGTTATATATTTCTTGCTCTAACTGCACGCACGCTTGTTCTATTTCATAATTTTTCGATACCAAACCAACCCATTGAGATTCAAGAGCTCGCAATTTTTCACCTCCTTGCGTTTGCATGGATTTACGTTGCCAATTTATTTCTTGAATACTCTTGCGAAGTGTTTGAAGTTGTTTTTGAGCTTGACTGACCATTTGAACTAAAACTTCCAAGTGAGATTTCCACGCTTCACAACCATAATCCATTATAAGTTCCAAATTACAAATTCTGAAATAAATATCATTCAATTAATATTTTTCAAATATCAAAATAATTGATTAAATTATTAATTAATTTTAAATTTTTATTATTAAAAAAATAATTAATTAATTAGAATTTAATTATTTAAAATAATTGTAGAATACTGTTAACTTTATTAAGATCACAAAAAAATGGTCTTCAAAAAAAAAATTTTTAAGTTATAATCACTTCTGTAAGAGTAGGTAGACCGACCATTTTTGCTCTGACGAAAATAACGAATCCGTTAAAAATCGAATTGAAACAGTCAATAAAAAGATTTAAAAAATCAAGAGATATATTTCGTATCATATCGACTTTTAAATTCAAATAGTTAAAAAGTAGAAATTTTCATGCCATTTTTTTTTTTTTTTTTTTTTTTTTATTATTATTAAAACAAAAATAATTCAACTACTTAAAAATAATTGTTAAAAAAAAAAACTTTTTCATCTCAGTTTATTTTATTAATTTTTCATTAATAAAAAATTAAACCATTATTATTTAAATATGTTTTAAGTAAGAGTTTTAAAAAATATTTTTTCTTTAAATCGAAATTTATGTATTCAAAAATATGTTAATAAAGTTTTAGATCAAAATCTTAAATATTTTCGGAGCTATAATCACTTTAGTGAGAGCAGGTAGACCGATCGTTTTCGCTGAGCGCTCCAACGAAAATGTCGAATCCGCTAAAAAACGAATTTAAACAATAAAAAAATTAAAAAAGTCATAAACATCACTGGAGATAAGGAAAAAAAACCCTTGTATGGCCCAGGACTCGGTAGTTTTATTGAATTATAAATATTTCATGAGAATCCATAATTTTAAAGTAGTAATTTTCTCAAAACGAATTTTTTCAAACTGGTTTCATCAATGACTCAAATCAAACAAATTTCAACAATTAAAAAATATTTTTTCAAATTTTGTTCGTCTTTACAGAGTCTAAGGTTGCACGTAGCCGATTTTGAAAATTTTGATTTTCAAGATTTTTTAAGGCTGTCTGAATAAAAAAAGAAATGGCCAAAAATATGAAAAAATTTTCAATCGGTCGCCAATTTTTTCAAATTAAAATAAAAAAATCGGCTACGAGCAACGATGACCACATTTATACAGACTATAACGTAACTAACATTTTTTTTTTTGGATATCCCGTTTTCGAGATAGCAATGCGACCATGAAGGAAAAATTTCTTTTGGGGCTGGACAAGAATTTGGATAATTTTGTAACGATTTAATACTTTTTAATTGAAATTTAGAAGATTAATCTTTAATGTACATATAATAGAACGAAAAAAAACCTGATCGCCAAATTTCTTTATTTTTTCGGTCAAAAAAATTCAAAAATTTTATTAAAAAAAAACCTAAAATTATTCAGATGCCTGGTGATTTCAGTATCATTACAAATTGATAAAAAATTTATCATTATAAATTGATAAAAACAAAATTATTATTACCTAGTAGCTTGGTGCTCCAATTGCGCACAGCTGTTTTCAACACTTTCATTCCATGCTGTCAGATCATTCATTTTTCCTGGAGGAGGTGGCGGTAACTCGTATCTTTTCATGCTCAAAACTTCCATCGGCAACCGGTTTTGCAGCCGTTCAAATTCGTGCTTCATTACATCGGTTTCAAACGATGTTATATTAAGTTGAGGCAAGTGTTCTAAGTAATTTTTTGTTGGTCTATAGCGTCTAGTTTCTTCTTCTACCATAGCCAGTGCCTGCAAAAAATTCAAAATTTTAATAAACAAAAATTTAAGAAAAAAAAAAGAAAATTAGTTTCAATTAACTATAAACCTTATTATTGCTCAATTTATTATTTATTGAATGATGTTGAAGTTATCTGACATGATGATTTTTAGGATTTTTTTAACAAATAAATTATTGTAAAAAATTTCACTTCTAAATGTCTCAAAAAATGATTGTTAAAATTTTTTCAAAAATATTTTCTTAGTAGTAATTTATTTGTTGTAAAAATAAAAAAAATTACAGATGTCGGCTAATTTCAGTTTCAAATTTATTTATCGGTATAATTTTTTGATTTAATCATTAATTTTCTTAGAATATTCATTTAATTAATAATGAATTAATAAAAAAAATTCATGTATTGAGTATTAACCTAAAAATAAGTAAATAAACTGTAATAAATCCTTACCGCTTCTCGGACTCCTGTTTCATCATAACCTTGATCAATATATGGCAACGCATCAACTACAATTTCATTTGCCATTTTAATTAGCTTCAATAATTTTTAAAAAAAGTTTTTTTTTGTATAAACTAGACTGACAAATAATTTTTATTAATTATTTACAACTATACTCTATATTGTACACAATCGCATGTGCACAATGCACATATATACATAAAGGTGTTTTTATGCTGACACTTGACGTTGATTCCTAGCGTCAAATGTGGTCACGTGATGAGATGTAGTTGTTAAGGGGTACTACACTATATACTAATAATGATAATAATATTGCAAGAATAATTCGTGTTTGATAATATTTATTCGCTTATTTATTACATAAAAAACTTAGCGTCTCTCCTTATAATTAGTCAGGTAACAATTAATAATATAATAATAATAATACTGCACAGTCACGCCACAGCTATGGCGTGCAGAAAGGCGGGATTATTTGAATTTGTGTGGGATTGTTTATTGTAGAGAGAGAGAGAGAGTTTCCCGCTCCGACGATTGGCGCTTTGGTAGATTTGTTTTGACTTCTGGTCGCTGGGAGCGCGACCGAGGCGGCAGGACCGCCACAGAGATTTTGACATGTGCGCCATCTAGAAAAAGTGTAGCGATAAATTGCAGCGTTTAGCGTCAAATTTAAGTAATGAGTAATAAACATTAAGTTGTCCGTAAACATTTCGCTAATTACGATCAAACATAGTGATCTGATTCCAAAAATTAATAGAAAAAAATATTTTTGCAAAAACATTAATCTGTGAAATTATGTCCGGTGAATATGATTATCAAATGTGGATTTACCAATGTCAAAAAATTAATCGAGAAGCACAAATAAAGAGGCTTCGACGTAATAGGGTTATTAATTGCGCTTATTTTAAATGATATCGCTATTCATAACAGAAAAAAAAAATATAAGATGAAAAGATTTTGGGCTCATCTGCTGCATAAATTACAACGAGAACATGGATTTTTTAAAACTGTATTCCCGACACTTTGTTCATATTCTGAAAAATTCGAAAACTACATTCGTATATGTCTGTCTCTCAGTTTGAAGAATAATTATTGTGCTTAGTTGGTCCACAGATAACTAAGAAAAATGACGTGAGAGAACCAATTTCAGCTACCGCTCGACTTGTTATGACTTTACGGTAAGATCTTGTAGACCTTGTTATTATCATGTATTACTATGAAGTAAAATAGTACAAATTATAAAAAAAAAACATTTATTACAGATACTTGGCAACAGGTGACTGCATAACATCTATTTCACATCAATATCTTGTTGGCGTAACAACAACTGCAAATATTATTGCTGAAACTTGTCAAGTTTTATGGAATAGTCTTCAGCAGAAAGTTTTACCTTACCCTTTAACAACACCTGATTGGTTAAAAATTTTAAATGATTTTGATAAGTATTGGGAATTTCCTCATTGCATTGGAGCTATCGATGGAAAACACATACAAATACAGGTATATACTATAATTCATATATACAAGTAAATTTTGTTAAAAACTGTTCATACAACTAATATCATTGTTATTTCAGAGCCCCGACAATTCTGGCTCATTATTTCATAATGACAAAAACCTTCACGTGTTGTACTGATTGGAATATGTGACGCAAATTATTCATTTTTGTTTGTTGATATTGGTGCACACGGCCGGCGTAATGATGATGGTATTTTTCGTGATTCTCAAATGGGTCAAAAATTTGAAAATCGTGAAATGAATTTACCGGAAGCCGAACTTCTTACTGTTGATGGTATGCCTTTACCATATGTGCTTGTTGGTGACGAGGCATTCCAATTAACAGATTATCTGCTCCGGCCGTACCCTGGTAGAGGTAGCCTTAATAAAGACAAAACTATCTTTAATTATCGTCTCAGTCGTGCTCGACAAACTATAGAAAACTCCTTTGGCTTACTAGTAAGTTTGTGGAGAATCTTAAAGAAGCCAATTGAAGCTACAGTGGACAATAGTGTCAATATAGTGAAAGCGATTATTTGTCTTCACAATTGGCTTCGTAAACAAGATGAAGAAAATAACTACATACAAGAAAATATGGTAGATCGCCAGGGAGAAAATGGTTTTATTCCGGGACGCTGGAGGGATGAAGTTGGAGAACATTCAACACTCCAAGATTCAAGAATATATGGAAATCACTATAGTTCTCGAACTGCTGTAACTATTCGCGACGAATTTTGTGACTATTTTACTGCAGAAGGCGCTGTTCCTTGGCAATATAATTGAAAATTACAATTATATATAATAAGTATCATAAATTTAATAAAAAAAATTATTATGAAAATTAATTTACCAGATGTTTGATAATTTTAAGAATTTTTGTAACAACTAAATTATGGCAAAAAAAAAAACTTTTTTTTTTAATTAAAAATGTAATTTTTTAGAAATAATTTTTAGGAACATATTTTTAACTTACCGCTAAAAAAATTGAAAATTAAAAAAAAATAAGAAGTTATTGGTTTCACCCCGGTTTTGAAAAATTGAGTTTCCATCAGATCTCAACGTTTTGAAGTCCTAGAGAGCGATCTCGACCATTTTCCTGAGGATATCACTATGTCCGTATGTATATGTTTGTATCCTCTCATCATTTCTGAACGAGCTTGACCAATTTGATCGCGATTGGCGCCATTAGAAAGGGCTTGACCAAACTTAGACTTTTAATACAATTTGGATCGATTCGACCCGGTAGATTCCGAGAAATCGCACAAATAAGAATTTTGATAAACTACTTTCTTGGAATAACTTAAACGATTTTACCGATTGATTCCTAGAACTAATCAGCTCTTAATATCAAAAAACCACGTTGATCGCCTTCAGGCCGATCAAAATTGGTTAATTCGCTTGTGAGATATCGTTGAAGAAAAAAATAAAAAAATTAGGCGAGAGTAGAGCATACCTGCGCACTTCGCGCTTAAGGCATGCAAAATGATTTTCTCGAATTACTCCGAAACTTTTTTTTTATGCATCAACTTCAACATTTCTTCTCGGATCGTTTAGTGAATAAGAAATAATCTTTGCTCAAAAAACTGCATCGATTACTGCAAAAACCATCGGAATCGGTGGATTCTTTCGAAAGAATTTTAATTTTTAAAATAATGATTTAAAATAATCTTTTTGTACTTGAAAAACTACAAAGACTGCGTCGGATACTTCCATCAACTCCCATCAAAAACGATTGATTTGATCGATATTACAACATTAGAAAAGTTGTGTTTTTGAACTTGAAGAGCTCAAAAATTCGTAGTGTTTTAGACTCGTACATAGCGGGAAATGCCAGGGATGACCTGCAGGGTCAAACGTTTTCCAGATTTTTTTATTAAACAAGATTAAAAAATGGTCAAGTGACTTAAATTTAATGTCATTAAATTATTTTATTGTATTGTTCATGATATTGATTAAAAGAATGAAATTTATTAAGAAATAATATTTTAATTATGACTGACCGAAGCTGCAATATAGCCTGAAATACTCGGCCTTTTATATTGTTTAAACTAATCCCGAGCAGTGAAATTTCCTTTCGGGATATAAAACTTACATAAATAACACATGTAACCATTGAAAAAATCCTCATTATTTTTACCGAGAAATCAATAAAATTTTCATTTGTTTACTTAAAAATTAATTAATAATAGAAAATGATCAAATAATTTTAAGCTATTCATATTTTTTGATAAAATATAGATATTTTACAATAAATCTTAAAAAGTTTATCAATTTATCTTTAAATGTTGATTTGAAATCTATTTTTTAGTTAAAAGTACTCAAAATTTTCATTGTGAAAAATAAGGAGTCCACTAGAAATGATTTTGCTCAGTAGTTATTAATTTTTAAATAAAAACAGAAACTAGAAAAACAATTAAAAATTTTTTTTTATAATTTTTAATCTATTCAATAATTACACAAAATATAAAAAATAATGAACTAATCCAGACTTGGTACGAAAGTTGCTATTTAGTGTGCAAACCTGTTGGTCGATTAATAAATCGGGAATGGCTTTTTATTTTAATAATACATTTGTTCTTTTTCTCATATCAATAATATTGGAAACCAAGTTTTAACATTTATATATGAATTCAAGATTAAGATACTTAGTTCGCGTCATGACGAAAAACTGAAAATAAAATTTTTTTTCATCAACTAAAATCAATACAATCAAAACCAAGACGAAATTTACTATAAATAAATTTCTTTTGCAGTTTCGGGTTAATATTTAATGTAGTCTGAAGTTTCAATTGTAATAACGAAAATTACAATTCTTAAAAAATCCAATTAATCAAATAGCTAACTTACTTTTTATAATTAAATTTATTAATAAAAAATGAATCTTATATCGAATCGTCAAAGTCTTGGTTTATTTAATAAAAAAGATCTTGAATTACAAAAAACTTGACAACTCGAGTTATGTGTTTTTTATTTATTTTTACATAAGATTTCATCAAAAACTTAAGATGTTAACAGTTTACTTCTTGGCTGGTACTTTTTCAACCTTAACTGCTTTAGTCGCTGCGGTGGATTTCTTTTCAGTCGCTGGGGCTTTTTTCGGTGCCTTGGCTACTTTTGGTTTCGCTACCTTCGGCTTGGCAGCTTTCACAGCAAGAATTTGCTTCTTACGGCGCATCAACAGGCTCTTGGTCTAAAAAAAAAAATCCCCAATTTAAAAAATTAAATGTATTCATTTAAAAAAGTAAAATTAATTTACTTTTTTTTTTCTTATACAAAAAGTTGTATACTTACAGTTTTACTTTTCTCAGAGAGTTCGTCACTCGTGAGCAGACGCTGTCCAGCAGTCAAAATTGCTACTCGCTTCGTAACCGCAGCGTAAGGATTCAACTTCAGCATCGCGCGGGTGTTCTTCAATGGGTTCAATTTCTTGACCCGACGAATAACCTTCTTCCTATAAATTGAAAAATTTTATTAGTAAATATGATATATTTTTAATTAAATACGTAATAGTCTCAAAATAGCTAAATAGTTATATTTAATCAGACATGGTTATGTTAAAGTCACTGTAAATCAGCAACACGGACCAATAAAACTCATCATGATAATAGTATGATCTTTTTTTAAAACTATATCTTAATAATAATAATAATAATAATAATAAATACCTTGGAGCACGTAAAACTTTACGGATTTCTTCAGACTTTAAAATTCTTGACAAGTCTGTGTTAGCCATTTTGGGTGATGGTAAATTGTAATCCTTCTTCAATTTGGATTCTTTGCGCCATGTACCGTATAAAGCGTCAAGCTTCTCAAATGCAGATTTAGTCCAGATGACAAAACGACCAACATGACCACCTGGTGCAAGTTTCAACAGATTCATCTTGTTGACGTTCATCAAGTCAACTCCGGGAATGTTACGGAACGCTTTGCGGATTCCCTAAAAAATAAAACAAGTTTATTAATTCAATATTAATCATTATGTAATTTATGTGAGTACATGTTTTAATTAACATAAACATCAGGCATGGTTATGATATTATCACTGTAATTCAGTAACACGGACCAATAAATATCATCATAAAAAAACAACTGATTCAATAACTCCAAATTATAATTCAAGATTTAATATTTACCTTATCATGACCGTAAACGATCAATGGTCCACGACGTTGGATGCGACGACGGTTACGCATCTTACCTTTACCGGCACGGAAACGTTGGGACTTGTAGACCTATATAAAAGCAAAAAAAAAAAAATTAATATTAAAACCCAATTTTTTTAAAGTTGACTAATAATCAAAGTTTAAAAATTTTTATTCTAATGTTTGGAAATTATGTCTCAAGCTAGATTTTAAAAACTCTAGATTAAAACGCCTATTTCCATATTAATATAGCACCTGATTGGACCATCAGAGTAAATCAATTACTAGATGGGGACATTTCTACGGTGCATAAATATATCTTTATAAATTGTACAATTTTCAGAATAAAAATTCTTTACTGTAGCATATTTAAAAAAAAAAAAAAAAAAAGACGTGCTGGTAAAAAATTGTATTCACCTTTTGGACATCATTCCAGGCCTTGATGCGACGCAAGAAAATGACGGCTTGTTTCGTCTTGTTGTATTCTTCAATTTTCTCGGATACAACCAATGGGAACTCTGGGACTTCCCCAATCAAATGTCCTAAATTAATAATAAATTGTTTAGTAAAAATTCTTTGAGGATATCAATGCTAAAATTTTTTAATAAAAAAATCAGACACAAAATCTTTTGATTTAAAATCACAGTTATCATAAACACGGACCAAATTGTTTCATCATAAAATCCAAACAAAGTATTAAGGAAGTACGAGCGCTAGGCGGGACATATTTAAACTTCATATTAAAAAAAATCAAGCTTTTTATCAAAAGTTGTCTTGGTGCTCGTATTTCCTTAATTAATTAAAATAGTAGTCATAAGTTATACCTTTTGACGTAACTAACGCAGGTACTCCTGACGCGGCGATGGCTGATACAATAGCATAACGTCTCTGGTTGACGTTGATGTGACGGTGCCAGCGACGGTAAGTTTTAGTTGGAGCAAACATACGTCCTCCGCGACACATGTTACCAAAAGCTCCCTGACCAGAACGGTGAGTACCACCACCGCGGACACGGGGAATACGTGCCACGGCACGTCCTGTACCCCAGGATTCAGCAGATGTTTGATGACCTAAACAAAAAATTAAATTATTAGTATTATACCCAGATTGAAGGTAAGAAAAATGAAATTTTAGGTTTTAATTTGTTAATTACCAGCTTCTTTAGATACAGCGTAAGGTTGACGCTTGTTCTTAGCCATTTGTTGGTGAACATCATTTACCATATCCACGCGAATTGGTGCCTTGAAAATGGCAGGGATTGGCAAAATCTCTTTTGTTGGCTCATTTTTATCACTGTAAACAGTGACTACAGCTCGAGCTGTTGACTTCGACTGGAAAAAAAAAAATATTTTTTTAAAAACATGTAAAATAATTAACCAAAAATTTAAGAAAAAAAAAAAATTAATTTTTTGAAAAAGTTAATTTAAGTATTTTTTTTTTTTTACAAATAATTTGGTTGTAATTTAAAAAAAAAATTGCATTCAGTGAATGAGTAAAAATTTCTACCGCAAGAACTATCTGAGCATAACATGGCGTCTAGTCTGATTGCCGTAAAACCGAACCTCAAAAAAATAATTGCATGTTAAATAATTGGTAAAAAATAAATTTCATAGCCGCACTGTGGAGAATATTATTTTCAAGGACTAAGATAATAAATAAACTATGTAAAATAAAAAAAATATATTATTGAAAGGTGTAAATAGTTAAATTAATTAAAATATGTTCAGCACACACGTGGTAGGTCGCGCACAGAGCATTATTTTAGTAATAAAGTAAATTTAGCAACAAACTAATTGAATTTAAACAATTTTTATTGTTAAAATTTTGATTGGCGTTAATTAATTGCAATAAATGAGATTAACTTACCATTATGCAGATTTTTTAACGTTCATACGCTAAAAAAATCCACTTGTGATAGTTCACGAGCCGAATATACTCGGTAAAAGAAGGAGCGCAGCAGAGCGCAGGCCAACTTGACAAAACGGGCGTACCATCTTAGGTCATGCGCTCATAACTTACTGCGCATGTCCAGACATTGCTACTACTTTTTAAAATTGAAAATTAATAAATAAAATTTAAAAGTTTTGTCGTAAAAAATATTGTGACATTTTTTTATAAATAAATAAACTTATACTTAAATTATTCTAAATAATTATTTTTAAAATTTATAAAAGAAAAACTTACATTTTAAAACATCACAAGTAGTTTATGTGGTTAAATTTTATTTATTTATTTTTTTAATTTATAATTTACATTAATGAATTTTTTTTCTTCATTTTTCTATGCAGCAGTACAAAAATTTCATAAAATTAAAAAAAGTACGCTTCGAGGAATTTTTTTCTATAAAAAATTGTCCCGAAAATATTTATTTATCTAACAATTGTGACCAACTGCATTATTACTGTCATTTTACAACAAGCGCTGTTGTATTCGTCACGCCGTCACGCCTAAAGAAAGTACCAGTAATTTTACAACTTTTCTTGTGTGAACAGTTCTACCCTCTACAGTTAATACAGAGTACTCCTATCTTACCGGCTTTTACCAAACAAAAATTGAGACTAGATGAATATTGTTTACATACCACGAAACATTTAAATAATACATCGTTTTTTTATAAAAAAAAAAAATAATTTTATAAATTAATTAAGTTATCTAAGTGTGTTTATTTATAATATTTATTTTATTGTGTTAACTAGAACGTGTAATTGTATAAATAAATTTATTTAAAGGAATTATTAAGTATATTTTAAGGTTAGTATCACTTTATTATTTTTTAAAATTATTTTGGAGTAAGAAAATAAATAATTGTTTAATTTTTGTTTCAGTTTTAAAATAATGGAATCAAGAACGGAATTTAAGATAAAAAATCCCCCGTCTGATGCGATTTCAGCGGTTGAATTTGGTCCAAATTCAACACAATTTTTGTTAGTATCATCATGGGACTCGACAGTGCGGCTTTATGACATTCATGCTAATTCTATGCGGTTGAAATACAACCATGATCAACCAGTCCTCGATGTTGCTTTTCAAGTAAGCTAACACATTTTTATTTTTATTTGCAGTCAATCTGAGTAATTGAGTTGTCAAAAAAATATTTTTATCGTCTAAAATTATTACAGATATATTTTTTGAATGAATTGTAAGAAACCTAAATTATTTGAATTGTAATTATAATTTTAATAGTAAAGTCTTAATAGACTTTGAAGGTAACAATATTATCAAGGTAAAAGCACTAATTATTGACAGGCTCCATTTATTAACACTTTTTTATCAGCATTTATTCAATTATTTCCAATAATAATAACATTTGTATATTTTTCACATAATCTTTATAATTTAAAGAATTAAAAAAGATTAATAGTTGTAAAATATATAAAATATTCATTTATAAAAATTTTTTTTGTTCATTGGAGTATTTTAAAATAGCTTGTAAATTTTAAATTCCTTAGCAATGTTATTCAGACAAGCACACTTTTGAAAAATTCATTTTTAAGTATAAGAAATTAACAGTATTGGTAGCAATTAATTTAACATTTATCAATTTTAAAATAACTGGTGTCAATTATTGATCAATAAATTTCAAGTTGCAATTTACAGTAACAGGCAAGTTTATATTGTGCTGTAACTTTCTGTTTATTCTTTCATTTTAGAGATTCATTCTAAAAATTAAAAAAAAAAAAAAACATTTTTTTAAGTAATTAACATTTATTTTATACACCTGTTATTGTTTTTTATTCATCAAATTGATAACTTTCGCGTATTATGCTGATAAATAATTGGTGCAAAAGTATGTCACTAAATACATAAGTTATTTTTAGTCTGACAATTTTTATCAGTTAAATTAAACTATTGAATTTGAGAACTTACTATTAAAATTCATGATTTTGTTTAGTCAAAAAAAGAAAAAAAAAATTAATGCAATGGTAAAAATTCAACAATCTTAGTTCTAAATCTGTTGAAAAAAAAATTGTAATTTTAGCTGACTTTTATTTTGTCAATAATCAGTACTTTTACCTTATAATACAAAATTCTGAAATCAATAGGCATCTAACTATTATATAATTTTAGTCAACGAATAAATTAGTGTTCTAAAAATATTTTTTTTTCAATTTCATTTTTTGTTTTTTTCAATTTCTACTTGTAAAAATTAAAAAAAATTTTTTTCAAACAATTTGTTTGTTAGAAAAAATTCTAAATTTTGTCAGCTCTTGGTAAATTTAAATATTATTTTAATACAGACAAGCTCAACTAAATCAACTACTGTTAATTATTTCAAATAACATAAACGTAAACTGCATTCACTTTTTTATTTTTATAAATTTTGAATAAAGAGCTCAACAATGAGATATTAAAAACAAATCTTTAGAAAAAATGGTCTTACAAATGAATCATTCAATCACATTAATAATAATTATGTATTTAATTTTCAGGATGCAGTACACGCTTACAGTGGAGGATTAGGCTGTACACTAAAAATGTACGATATCAACGCGAATGCAGAAACGATAATGGGTTCACATGAAAAGGCCATCAGAAAAATAGAATACTGTTCATCGGTAAACGCTATTTTGACGGGAGGATGGGATGCTGCGGTTAAGTTATGGGACCCGAGAACACCTACTTGTGTTGGTACTTATTTGCAACCTGATACCGTATTAGCACTGTCGGTTTGTGGTGATAAATTTGTCGTCGGCACTGCTAAAAGAAAAGTATGCATTTGGGATTTAAGAAATATGGCTGGAATGTTCCAAAGACGCGAGAGTAGCTTGAAGTATCAAACACGGTGTATTAAAGGATTTCCCAATGAACAGGTAGGTTTTATCATTTTTCTTAGTTTAATTAAAAAAAAAAATTTGTATTTTTAATTTCAATTAAAAACATTGGAATTACTTTTCTGAAATTCAGGTTTATAATTTTCATATTTAACTGCAGCAATTCATGTAAAATTTTTTTCAAATATTTTTACATGAATTTTAACTTGAAATATTTTATCAAAAAAACGATTTCAAAGAAAAAAAAAAGGCCATTCGGTAGCCGAAATGGAAGTAGATTTCATGATGAAAAGAATTAAAAACAACTAAAATTATAAAAAAAAAAAAAAAATAAATTACGTTCAATAAAGAAAGAGAAGAATTATTGTACTTCAGTACTTTTCAGTCAGTTCTGTATAGACAAAACAACGACTGCAAGAGTAAAATTTCTTTAAAATGATCCTAAGATGGATATTTTTTTGCTTTAAAACAAAATGTGAGCACATAAATTGAAGCTTAATTTCTCAGCTTTCAGATGCATTTTACAGAAATTGAATAACTCGACGCGTTCAAAAGTTATTTGAAGGAGAAGTAGTGAAAGTATCAAATTTTCAAAATTTTTAACTGGTGTAATTTCTAAACTATTTGACCGATTAAGCTCATACTTGAACTTGACCTTTCTAATAGTCAATAGAATAAGTATGTTGAGTTTCATTAAGATCCCTTAAGAATTGTTGACGCTATCGTCGTGACAAGCTGCGTTATATCGTATATAAACTTTTGAACCATATGTATTTTCTGACTCAGATTGTCGAGTTAGGTCGAAATATAGTAAAATTAACGGAAAATTACGTCATGAGGACAAATACAATAGTTAGATTTTTATGAAATCTACTAAAAAATCGCAGGGCAAAGACTCCAAATATTGATCAGTTTAGATAAAATGAACAAAATTACATTATTTGTAAATTTTTTGGAAGAATTTATGAGCTGAAACGAGTGTTATGCTTTTTTTATAGTTTTAAGGAGGTCCTTTCGCCGCCAATGTAAAATAAAAAATATTAGATTATGAGTAAATTCAATTTTTTTCTAGTAGTTAAGGTCCTTATTTATCTAATAGTGAGGTTTAAATTATACTTTACCGGACAAATTTTTGAAAAAATAAAATTTTTAAGTGTTAGTATTTGTTCAGAGTCTTACGAGAAAGTCAGACGTTTGCAGTATTTCTCGAATTATACTACTATCAGTCATGGATTAGATGAAGTAAAAAAAAACTAAAAATTAGATTTTCGAAATATTCAGGTTTCTTTTTTTGCAATAAAATATATCAGTTACCGAGATATTTATTGAGAAATTAATATTTAAAAATCACAAAAAATTCTCAAGTAACCTACGTTAAAATGGAGTCAAAACATTTGGCAACGTTGCGTATCGCGCGAGCTTATTCAGACCATTCAAATCCAAACTAATTTATTTATTTACACTGAATGTAAAAATTTAAACGTGGTTAAGGTAACTTACAAACTATAATACTTTTGTTTATAAAATACATAATAAACATTAAAATGTAATAATTAACGTTACAGCCGGTTGCTCAGAATATTGACCATTATGCACTAAATATTGACCGCCTATGCTCCAAATTCTGACCAGTAGTATTATGCTTAGTAGACTTAGAAATAACTTTCATTTTTAATCTATGGTAGTTTTGACATTAGGTAATATATTCACTGACATATTCATAATTTCAGTATTGTTGTTAGTTGTTCTGTATTCTGATACAATATTATCTTCAGTACTTATGTGCATGCGCAAATTTTGGTTTCAAGTATAGTTAAAAATTGATAATTACGCACTAAATATAAAATTAAATTACTAGATTTTTTAAAATCAAATTGTTATGCTACCTGATGGTCAATATTTGGTTCCTTTACTTGAAATAAATAATTTTTTAAGATACTATTTGACTAATCAGATGCGACACAATTTTACTGAAATTTATCATATGACTAACTTTATAAATTTTATAGAATATTTTTGACATATAATAAATTTTTTTTCTAGGGCTACGTTTTAAGTAGTATTGAAGGTAGAGTAGCCGTTGAATATTTGGATACAACGCCAGAAGCTCAAAAGAAGAAATATGCATTCAAATGTCATAGAATAAAAGAAAATGGTATTGAAAATATTTATCCAGTAAATGCCATAAGTTTCCACACAACATACAACACATTTGCTACTGGCGGTTCCGATGGATACGTCAACATTTGGGACGGATTTAATAAAAAACGTTTATGTCAATTCCACAAATATAATGCGGGTGTTGCCGCATTGTCATTCAGCCATGATGGCTCTGTATTGGCTATTGGTGTATCATTTTTGGATCCAGCTGAAATAACTCCTGTCGTACATGATGAAAAAGAAATTTATATTCGTTATGTCAATGATCAGGAGACAAAACCAAAATGATGGTTTCCGCACAATTAATTAAGTGAATTATTAATTATTAATTATAAATAAAGTAATTCTTTTTATAGAAAATATTTCGATCTGTTTATTTCAATTTATATATAATAGTATATACATAAAATATTTTTGTGCTAACGTAAAATAAATTTTTTTGTATCATATGTACATCTTAAAAAAATAATTTTTACTATCTAAAAATAATAATAACGAACAATTAATTCATTTTAAACACTCGATTGCAGCTTTTGTATATATATAAAATTGACACATAATCTATTAACTCCAAAAATTAACATTCAATAAAACCTTATTTATTTACTAATATATGTTCTCAAATAATCACGTATTATATCGTGAGTTGCAAAACTAATGCTAACTGCCACAGGCCCTTTCACCCAATTCATTGTTAAGCCTTTGTAAAATGCCATTAATCCTTCCTCTCTGTTGAAAGAAATCAAGAGATATATTTCGTATCATATCGACTTTTAAATTCATTAAATTTATCTTAATTACTCAAATAGTTAAAAAGTAGAAATTTTCATGCCATTTATTTTTATTATTAAAACAAAAATAATTCAACTACAGTGCGCGTCATTGATTCGTACCGGTTGAAAAATTTTAAGGTAAAATAGATAAATCAAAACTTCGACATCTGTAAATAAAGAAATCAATAAAAGAAAAATCTTTATAATGATCAATTTGGACAAAGTTGAAAAAATAATTTACTAAAAATAAATAACTCAAAATATCAATCACGATTAAAATAGAAATGAAAAATATTAGTAATTAAAATAATCACACACTTTATAAAATAAATAAAAGTAAAATTTTAATATTAAAAAAAAA